ACTGGAGCATGCCAGAGCTGGGCTCCCCAGGGCACCCCCAGGACGGGCTGGAGCTCCAAGGTGGGGGTGTCCTGGTGCTGGGCCACTCCCGAGTTTGGGGGAGTACCCAAAATGGGGCTGTCCCTGCTGGGGCACAGTCTCACCCCCTCCTCCCTCTGCAGGCAAGTGCCCCCCAGCCCCACCGCTGCCTGGGGCTTCGCCCTCCATCGCCCTCACTGTGGGGCTCTCAGGTAGGTGGCAAGGGCAATGGGGACAGGGAGGGCATGGGGTCCATGGGGACGGGGACAGGGAGGGGGGATGGGGACTGTGGGGATGGGGACAGTGCATGGACCATGGGGACAGGGACAAGGAGGGCATGGGAACCTTCGGGATGGAGACAGAGGGTGCGGGGATCATAGGGATGGGGATGGTGCAGGGACCATGGGATGGGGACGGTGCAGGGATCATGGGATGGGGACAGGGAACGCGTAGGGACCATGGGGTTGGGGACAGAGAGGGTGCAGGGACCGTGGGGACAGAGGAAAGGGAAGAGTTGCAGGTGTTGCAGGGTGTTGGGGTTGCAATGGCCAAGGGCCAGATGCAAGGACTGTGGCGCAGGGATGGGGTGCCCCAGGGGGTGGTGGCAGCTTGGGACCAAGGCAGCAGGTTCGGGTGGCTCAGGGTGGGCACAGGATGTATCCTCCTGCCCTGGTGGGGGCTGAGCCACCCCCTGCCCCGCTGACAGCTATCCGGATCAAGAAGCCCATCAAGACCAAGTTCCGACTGCCCGTCTTCAACTGGACGGCGCTGAAGCCCAACCAGATCAGCGGGACAGTGTTCAGCGAGCTGGATGATGAGCGAGTGCTGGAGGTGAGACCAGGACCCTGCCCGAGTAGCCGGGTGGCCACTGCCACCGCTGCTGCCACCTCTGAGCCCTCCTCTCGTCCCACCAGGACCTGGACCTGGAGCACTTTGAGGAGCTCTTCAAGACCAAGGCACAGGGTCCGGCCCTTGACCTCGTCTGCGCCAAGAACAAGGGGTCTCAGAAGGTGGCCAGCAAGGTGACGCTGCTGGAGGCCAACCGGGCCAAGAACCTGGCCATCACCCTGCGCAAGGCCGGTCGCAGCGCCGAGGAGATCTGCAGGGCCATCCACACGTACGTGCCCCTGCTCCGGGGGCCTGGTTGGGGTGGGAGGGCAGTCCCTGGCGGGGTGCAAGGGTGGTGGTGGGGGGGTGCAGTGGGTCCAGGAAGGGAGCAGAGGGGTTGTGTTTGGGGAGTGGTGGGTGCAGGGAGGGTGTTTGGGGTGCAGGGAAGGTGTTTGGGGTGCAGTGGGTCCAGGAAGGGAGCAGGGGGGTTGTGTTTGGGGTGTGGTGGGTGCAGGGAGGGTGTTTGGGGTGCAGGGAGACCGGACAGGGTTCAGGAGTCCAGGCAGGGTTCGGGGCCACGGGGGAGGGTCTGGCCAGGGCGCAGTGGGGAGCCGGTCCCCGACGGTGCCGGGCACGGGGCAGGTTCGACCTGGCGACGTTGCCGGTGGATTTCGTGGAGTGCCTGATGCGGTTCCTGCCGACGGAGGCGGAGGCGAAGGCGCTGCGTCAGTACGAGCGGGAGCGCAAGCCCCTGGAGGAGCTGGCGGACGAGGACCGCTTCATGCTGCAGTTCAGCAAGGTGGAGCGGCTGCCCCAGCGCATGGCCATCATGGCCTTCCTCGGCAACTTCGCCGAAAACCTCCAGATGCTGACACCGGTACGGGGCAGGGGGAGGGATACACCCAAACAAGGGTGAGCTGGACCCTGTGCCCCAGCTGAGCCCCCCCCCTGTCCCATCCTGTCCCCCTGCAGCAGCTCAATGCCATCATCGCAGCCTCGGCCTCTGTCAAGTCTTCCCAGAAGCTGAAGCGCATGTTGGAGGTGAGTGTCGGAGCCTGGGGACGAGCTGAGATGGGGTCCTGCCCTCTGTCCTCAGGGCACGGGGGGGTCCTGCGGGGAAATCTCATTCCTCCCTGACCCCCACCCCCAATCCCTGGTGCTTTTCCTCTGCAGATCATCTTGGCACTGGGCAACTACATGAACAGCAGCAAACGTGGCGCTGTCTATGGCTTCAAACTGCAGAGCCTGGACCTGGTGGGGGCAGTCCCATATCCCCTGCCCGTCTCCCTGGGACCGCGTGGCATCCCAAGGGATCCCATCCCACAGCCCTGATTCCGACCCCCCCCTCCTCCAAAATCGTTCTGCAGCTCCTGGACACCAAGTCGACGGACAGAAAGATGACGCTGCTGCATTTCATCGCGCTGACGGTGCGGGAGAAGTACCCCGAGCTGGCAACCTTCTGGCAGGAGCTGCACTTCGTGGAGAAAGCAGCGGCAGGTACCCTCCCCTGTGCCTGCACCCCCATCTCGGCCTCCCCTGGGGCCGTGGGTCCCCTGGCCTGTCCCCCCCACCCCATCCCTGGAGCGTGTCCAGAGGAGAGCCACCAAGCTGGTGAGGGGTCTGGAGAACAAGTCCTACGAGGAGAGGCTGAGGGAACTGGGCATGTTGAGTTTGGAGAAGAGGAGGCTGAGGGGAGACCTCCTTGCCCTCTACGACTCCCTGAAAGGAGGGTGTAGAGAGGCAGGTGTTGGCCTCTTCTCCCAAAGGACGAATGACAAGACCAGAGGAAATGGTCTGAAGTTGGGGCAGGGGAGATTTAGATTAGATATTAGAAAGAACTACTTTACTGAGAGAGTGGTCAGGCACTGGAACAGCCTGCCCAGGGAGGTGGTGGAGTCACCATCCCTGGAGGGATTTAAGAAATGTATAGACATGGCTCTTCAGGGCATGCTCTAGTGCCCAAGGTTATTGGTTTATGGTGAGGTGTTGAGTGTGGGGTTTAGTTGGTGGGTGCGGTGTTTTTGGTGGGCGTTTGGTGTGGTGTTTTTTTTTTGGGTTTTTTTTTTTTTTTTTTTTTTTTTTGTGGTTGGACTCGATGATCTCAGAGGTCCCTTCCAACCACTAAGAGTCTGTGATTCTGTGATTCTGTGATTTCGAGGGGGTACAGCGCAGAATACACTGAATGCTGCTGCTTCAGGACATTTTTATTAACAAGAAGCTCTTTTACCTCCCCCAGGATGGTGGGAAGTCGGTCCAGAAGAGCCCTGGAGCGCTG